TTCACCTCCACCTCTCTACCCTTCACTTCCACATCGGTAGATGGGAGCTGAACGCTGAGATCACCCGGCTTGACTTCTCCCTCCAGGGAGGGGACTGAGACCTCTCCTACTCTCTGGGCCAGAGGCAGAGACATGTCCACAGAGGCCTCCATGGCTTTGCTTGGCACAGACACTCCAAAGGACGGCATCTTGAAGGAGGGCATCTTAAACTTGCCATCTTTGCTCTTGGAGTCCCTGTCTCCTAGCTTGGAATCTCCTTCTCCCTTCATAGCTTCCATGGAGAGCCCTGGAGCAGTGGTGCCCACCTCCACCTCGGGCAAAGCTCTCCCAATACTGTGGAGATTGATGTCTACCTTAGGGGTTTGCAGGTCAACTTTGGGGTCCTTTCTCTCCACCTGAGAGGGCTTCAGATCCACTTTTGTCTTCTTGATGCTGGGCCTCTGGAATTTGATCTGAAGCCCTTTTCTTGTATCACCTCCATCTGGCCGTGAGAGCTTTCCCTCTGACAGCTGGATTGCCCCCTCGACTCCCATCACCTCTGTGTGGACTGGTGGGCGTTCTTTTTCATCAGCTGTGTGTCCTTCTTGCCCAGTTTCTGTCCGTGGCCTCCTGGCCTCCACTGTGGCCTCCCGAGGAGGTTTTACCTTCACTGTCTTTACTTCCTTACTGGGAGACCACTCAAAGGGCACCTTGAACTTGGGCATGTTCAGCTTCCCTTCACTGCCCTCCTCTTTCTCCTCAGCATGGGGTCTCTTCCCTTCCTGCTCCCCAGCAGGCAAGGAGTCCCCCTTTCTCAGCCCATGCAGGTCTGCCCCAGGCCCCTCTTCTGAAAGCTTTTCTGGCCTCTGTTCCCAGGGGGCTTCCAAGACATCTGTTTCTTCAGCTTTTTGTTTGGAAACCCCAAAGCGGGGCGTTTGCAAGCGGGGGATGCGAACCCGGATTTCTGGGGAGGTGCTCTGCATGCTACTGGCTGTAGTGGTGTCCTGTAAAGACAGTTTGGCAATGCCAACTTCCAGCCCCTGCACCACATCCCCACCATCCTCCCGGGCCAGGTCACCACAAGGATCCCTCGGCCAGGGCTCTTCCTCCAGGACCCTGACCTCTTTGGTCTTCTTTCTACGTGTAGGGGTGGGGCCCGCCACCTCTCTGGGCCCTCCTGTTCCCACACTGTGCTCTGTGCTGAGAGTGGTCACTGTCTTTTGGGGTGCTGCCTCCTCCCGGACCCCCGAGGCTGGACCACCCCGGGCCCCTTTTCCCATGCGCCCGGAACGTGTCCGGAACCGTAGGCTGAGGATACGCCTCTTTTGCTGACTGCTCAGCTTCTGTTCGTCCTCTGGGTGCTGGGCCTCGGTGTCTGTGCTGGTGGGAGACATGGCAGGGCTGCCCCGCTCATAGGCCTCGGAGGAGCTGTGTGAGCGCCGAGGCCCAGCCCTGTACTTGGGTCCCATGGCTGGGAACTTGGGCCAGGAGAACCTGTCCTGGGGCCTGCGGCTGCGCCCCTCCCGCGGCCTGGGGAGGAGCCTGTCCTGGTCCCCGCCTCCTTCTGGTACCTTGGTGGGGCCCTCAGTGACCTCCTCATCCTGGAAGACAAGAGATGAGCGGTGTGTGTTGCATCTGAGTCAGAGCCTGAGCAAGCACTCATCTCGCCCCTGCACCTCACCTCACCTGTTTCTTGGGGTCCTCTGAGGTCCCTTGTTCATTCTCTCTGTTGGGAAGTTTCCGTCTGATTCTGAATTGAACCTTGTATGGCTCTGAGTACTGGAGAATTTTGAGAGCGTCTTCATATTTCATGTTGTCGAAGAATATGGTCGTGCTGAGCAGCTGGTCACCTGGAGACGAGCTGCCCTCAGCCTCTGTGGCCCCCGGCCTCTGTGCCCCTGGCCTCTGTTCCCCCAGGGTCTGTGCCCCTGGCCTCTTCCCCCGGGGTCTGTGCCCCTGGCCTCTGTGTTCCTGGGCTCTGTGCCCCTGGCCTCTGTTCCCCTGGGGTCTGTGCCCCCGGCCTCTGTGCCCCTGGCCTCTGTTCCCCCAGGGTCTGTGCCCCTGGCCTCTTCCCCCGGGGTCTGTGCCCCTGGCCTCTGTGTTCCTGGGCTCTGTGCCCCTGGCCTCTGTTCCCCTGGGGTCTGTGCCCCCGGCCTCTGTGCCCCCCGGGGTCTGTGTCCCCTGGCCTCTGTGTGCCCCCCACCTCTGTGCCCCCGACATCTGTGCCCCTGGCCTCTGTGCCCTCAGGGTCTGTGCATTTCAGCCTGTGGCCCACCTTGGACTCTTTCTCTCTCTAACCTCCAATCGTGACCCTCTCAGTCTGTGCCCCCCTCAGACATGTCTAGTCTCTGACTGCTGGGAGGAAAAGTCCTACGGGAAAAGGCACAGAAAAGGGAACCCTAGAGTGGCCCAGCACCATTTAACTTCTAGGCAACGAGGGAGGAGTAGAGGAGGTGACCGCATCTACTAGGAGAGGACACTGGGCGCAGCAGGAGGACCCCCCCCCCGCAAGTGATCAGGCAGCCTGAATACCTTCTCTGAAGAGATTGGCCGCTGAGGAGTCCTTGAGAACCTGCTTGACAAAAATACCCTGGTCCCCACCTCCAGTGATGCTGTAGCCGCTGGCCCCAACCTCCACCTCGGTCTTTAGTGTCACCTCTGTGGTCTCCTGCAAGGATGGAGCACGTAGTGTCTGTCCCCAATGCCTCCCGTCAGGCCAGGACCCTGTGTCAAATCCATCACCCACAGGCCCCTTCTCTGGGGACACTGGCTACTGACAGCCCCAGGGAACTCTGTCCTCTGGCCTGAGGACCTCTCATGCCCAGGGGCCGGCTCCTTGACCGTGCTCCCCAACTGCATGACACTAACCACAGACAGGGCACCTGAGGCCACCTCACGCCATTCACCTCCACCGTCCACAGGGCAGCACTGACAGCACACCCACTGTCCAAGTGACAAGACTGAGGCCACGGGCCCAGGTGCTCACAGGCAAGCACATCGTTGGGCAGAGTCGCGGGGGAAGCCACAACCATACCCCGGCCCCTCATCCAGCCAAGCAAGGGTCCTATTGCCCTTTGCCTGGTGTCCTCAGCCTCTTGTCTCCACCCCCGGCTGTGAGGGTCCTCCCAGCTCCCCCAGGTCCCACACCCACCTCTGGATGGCTCATCCTGGATAGAGTCCGGGAGTCTCCTGAGTCCCGCTTCCACCACGACCTCCGTCTCCCCAAGGGAGCACGTCTGCCCTGAGCTTCCTCCTGCGCCCACAGGTGTCCTGTTAGCCAGCTGCCCAGCTGGGTGGGCATGCCCCTGGTGCAGCCCCAGTGGGCCAGTGCTGTCCAGGGTCATGTGTGTAAAAGAAGCAAGACCCCACATCCAGAAAAAGTCCTTGCATAACCTTTGGGCTCCCTGCGGGACTTGACCCCAGCCCCAGCCCCCTCACTGCCCACACTTCCAACAATCTCTTAGGACACTTGGGATCTCACATGGAAAGAGATGAAATGCAAACTGTAAAAATGAAGAGCCAGTGAACAGTCCCTCCTCCACAGACAGGTGTGTCTGTTACTGCAGGTGTGCCCATAGCACCTGCCTGCCAGTCACACTCCCACCCCCGCTGTGCCAGGCACTGTCCACGCCCAGGAGCCAGGCCCGTGGCCTGCACTGTCTCCAGCAGCTGAGATGGACCAAGTGGGGAGCATCAGGGGAGTTGGTGGTCAGAGGGCTGAGCTGTGGCCTGCCGGTGGGCACAGGTGGGTGGGCTGGCCATGTGGTCACACAGGCAAGCGGGCACATAGGTGAAGTGGCCTTACCTGGACTCCAAAGCCGGCGCCCTCAGTGGCACATTCATAGACAGGCGAGGAGCCTTGTGGCCGTGGCCGAATGGTCTCGTTCACCAACCCCTCTGTCACCTGAAGGACAGGAGAATGGGCTTCCAAGGGACCCAACACCAGGCCAGCCCTAGCCCACGCAACTTCCCATAAATCCTGGGGCACCGAGTCTCGCAACAAAGAGATGGGAAATGCGAATTGTACAAAACAAATCTTTTGGTAAACAGTCCCTCCCAAAGACAAAGGTGACCACCAGGACTCTAGGGGCAGCGCAGGGGTTTGGGTGTGTTCCCATCTGACCGGGCAGGGGAGGGGACATGTGTTCCCACTGAGCAGGAGGGGAGGGGACAGCTTCTCGCCTCACTTACAGAGTGCTCTTCTTCAGTTTCTGCATCTGCCTCTGGTTGCAGCCTACGCCCAGACTCTGCGGAGAGAGAGATGGGTTTGCGAAGAGGCAGGTGTGGCCCAGAGCACTGGGAGCCAGGAGGGGACACTGAGACGTGTGTCACTCAGGTGTTATCCTGAGCTGGACGGGCAGACTCAGGACCTCGGCCCACAGAGAACAGGGCACGTTCTGGGGACTCACACATGGAAAAGGCCCTGATCTCCCCTCGCAGACTGGATGATGTGATGCAAAACCAGTAAAGACACCAGTAGGCATTTTGGCAAAAATTGTGAAGCTGATTTTCAAATGTATATCTAAGCACAAAGGTTTATCGTAGTAGATAATGACGTTGTTATCTGCCGTCGAGTCACCTGTGACCCACAGCGACCCTACGGACAGCAGCTCCAAAGCCTTCCCTGTCCTGAGGCAGTCTCCCTGACTCCGACATACCTACCCCCAATGCCCCTGTCACTGAGTCCATCTCACCTGGGGTCTCCCTCTCCTGTGCTGTCCTTCCACCCTTTCAAGCATGATGTCCTTCTACAAGGACTGGTCCCTCCAGGCCGCAAAACGAAAGTGGAAGACTCACTGCCTGATTTGAAGACTGACTGTGGGGGACATCAGGGTCCGTCCATGCCCAGTCCTCGCTGAAGAGAGGACAGCCCACATTTCTCAGCAGTAGTGGAGGTCTTGGAAGCTTAGGAGTGGCCGCCAAGATGCAGCCATCAGCTCCACCCTCTGGCCAGCTTGAGGAAGAGTAGACAAGGTCAAGGCTATTTGCCCAGAGGTCTAGCAAACAACACTAAGGCCCATCTCTACTGCAACTAGCGGTGCCCACCACCCCTGTTGACCACCCTGGAAAAGACAGCTAGAAAAGACCCCTGACAGAGGGGAGGGGGCATGTGGAACAGCGGCCACAGCTCCAGGAAAGAATGGCCTCCTTTTCTGGGAAAAACTCCAGCCTCTGGCCTTAGTCCCCTTGCATGCTGGAGCCTAAATCACTCAGCTTTCAGCCAACAACAGGTGGCCTGTGAGGTGACCAGGAACCTCAGAGAAGGACACTTCCTTGAAATAATCGAGCAGACAAAACCAGAAGGGCGGTGCTGGCCCAGGGAGAGCTCAGAAGGTGGAGGAGATGGCCGAGGGCGAAAAGAGACGGGACCATGGGGAGGAGGTGGGGAAGGCCAGGCAGACCTATGCTTCTGTGGTCAGCTGACTGTGATAAGCCAGGCACGCCATCCCGACCAGAAACGAAGAGGCTTCTAACAACGATGATGAAACAACTGGATACTTAGCAGGAAAAACCCTGAGACTTGCACTCTTACCTCACTCCACATATAAAAATTAACTTTGACAAGGCAGCTAGATAGAACACTTGTACTAAAACCCATGAGAGGAAGCCTTTACCACCTTGGGAGAGGCAGAAATGTCTTACACAGGGTTCCAAAAGTATGACCCATAAGGAAAAAAACAACTCACCTCCATTTCATTGTCATTGAAAACCCTTGGAAGACTCAGCTGAGAGAACAAGGTGCTGCTTATGCCTGAGAAGCCTTGTGCCACAGTACCTCCTAGAATTCAATGGAGTAAGAAGCGGGGTCTCCCAATTCAAGATGGGCAAAGACTCGAGCAAAGGAAGATGCCCATGGAAGGCAGCGTGCACAAGCTCGCCACCATCAGCCATCACGGAAAGGCAAGTTGAAGCCACAGTTTCATACCAGAACACGATGAGATAAAAAAAAAATGATTTCGAAAGAATGAGAATGCCAGGTGCTCATTAGACTGAGGAGTAAGCGCAAGGCGAGACCCTTCCCGGGGAAGGACCGGGGGTCCAACCATGTGGAAGGCAGCTTGGCAGCAGGCTTACAAGTGGACTTGCATTCAGCACGTGACCTAAGATCCCACTCAGACACGTTCACTCAAAAACAGCCCTGATGCGCAGTGACCCTGCGTGTGCCAGAAGGGGCAACCGCCTGGCCCTGAACACCCTCACAATTGTTGCTGTGTTCAGACCTCACAGATGACAGCCTTGGAGGCTGCAACCAGTCAGAATCAACCTAAGAGCAATAGGCACAACAATGTGGATTTTTAAACTGAAAATAAGACTTGCAAAGTGCAACAAAAGCCATGCTTTGAGGCAAAATTTTAGCACTAAGTGGATAGATGAGGAGAGAAGATAAATGAAGAATCAATGGTCTAAGAACTCAAGTCAAGATGCTAAGTGCATTGCTGTTGGAGCAGGTGCTCAGAGGCTACAAATCCTGTGAAATCATAGTTTCCCCAGTTGGGGAAGGAATCTGCCTGTCTTTCTCTCTTAGACAGGGGCTCCCCTTCTCTCAAAAAGGTACATAAAAAACTCAGCGAATAAAACAACAGTAAAAAGACAGATGGAAGTTCTTAATGAGATCAAGCCAAAAATAGTTTTCCTTTTTAAGTGGCAAAAAAAGACAAGCAAGCAAGCAAGAAAGAAAATACCACCAAGAAATATTACAGTAAAGAGAATCAAGAAAACCACAGGTTGGTTCCCTGAGAGGAGAGATAAGAGGGACAGATCCCAGAGAAGGAGAGTTAGTTCTATGCATCAGTGTTAGCGGTGGAGAGAGGGTATCGTTGTTTCTTAAACATATCACAAGAATGGACAGAAGGAGAAACGGGAAATACCTAAAGAAAATGGGATCAGTTACCAGGAATTTCCCTATAAAAAAATTCTATACCCAGTTAATTTCACCAGTGAATCAGTTCAAACATTTGCGGAAGAAACCAGACGCACATCACAAATGTTTCTAAGCACAGGAAAGAGGGGACGGGCAAACCCTTGACAGCTCGTGTGGTCACATCACAGAAAGGAGGAGATGGTGGAGAAATGCCACCAGCCGCCTTTCTCTCCCAAACAACCAACCAGAGTGACATCCACTTCCTAAACAACATGCCTCTGGAAACTCGATGAACTTTGAGAAACGATAGTTAAAAAAAGGCTTCAGGTCTTTTGTTCATAGAGTCATTATGAGTCGTGCTCGACTCGACAGCAATCAACAACCACAACTACAAAAATCATGTTGTTGTGTACTGTTGGGTGGGAACCCTTGCAGAGCTAACCCTCCAGAGAGCGTTCAGACACAGCAAACATCACGCAAGAACATTGCCTGTCCTCACACGGAGCACTTGGTGGATTCAAACCATGTGTCTTTGGGTTGGCAGGGCAGCTTTTCCCCGGGCCACCAGAGCTCCCTGGTACTTTGAATAGATAAAAAACATGTTTTTATGGACCATCAAGTCAAAACCGACCTACAGCTGACCCCCCCTCTACTGGATTTTCAGAGACAGTTAATCACATGGGAGGAAATTGCTCATTCTTCTGTAGAGCAACTAGTGGTTCAGATTCAAACCATGTACCTTCAGGATTGAAGCGCAGCTTTTTACCACTAGGCCACCAGAGATAGAAATAGAGATAGAGATAGAGATAGAGAGACAGAGAGAGAGAGAGAGAGAGAGAGAGAGAGACAAAGAAACAGAAACAGAGATAATATATAGATTTAGATAGATATAGATGATAGAGATAGATTTAGATATAGATATATAGGGATAAAGTTTATTGTTGTTAGGTGTCATCGAGTCGCTTGCGACTCACAGTTTCCCTGGGACAACAGCCCTGAACCCTGCTGTATCTTGAGCGAATTTCATTGTCTCTGACGTGTCTGACCCCATTACCTCAGTCACTAAGTCAATCCCTCTCATCCAGGGTCTTCCTCTCTTATGCTGTCCCTCCACCCTCCCAACTATAATGTCCTTCTCCAAGGACTATTCCCTCCAGGCAACATACCCAAAGTGTATCAGAGGGAACTTCAGAATCCTTGCCTCCAAGGAGCAGCCTGGTTTTAGCCTCTCTATGACAGACCTGTGTGTTCTCTTAGCAGTCTATAATTGAGTAAAACTGTTTCCTCTTTTAACTAAAAATCAATCACACTTTAGCAGAATCAAGAAGAAAGCAATATGATTATCTAATTCTGCAAAAATGTTTGACAAAATTATTGTTATGGTTGAAAAGACCTTCAAAACATACCACAGAAGGAAGCTTTTTCAAATGTGGAAAAGACATCAAAACAAAACAAAAAGACATTAGCAAGCACCATGCTTATTAGTGAAATACCAAAACATCTCCCCTTGAGATAAAGAATGGAGTAAGATGCTCTGTCATCAGTAAGCATGATTGCACTTCTTCGTTTTGTGGCATGGACACTAGATAAGCCACGTGGGACGCAATGCATTCCTAAAACACAGGAAGACCAAGGAGACGTGACACCTCTGGGTCGTGCTGTTGGCGAAGAGCTCACCTGCACACTGTGACAGCGCTGTGACACACACACACACACACACACACACACACACACACACACACACACACCTGTCTGGACGGATCCAGCCAGTGTGCTCCTTAGAAGTAAGAATGCTGCAACTTTGTCGACTCTGTCACGGTACCAGGATGCACTGGTGCCTGGAATAGGACAGCACGCTTGGAAAAACAGAATGCCAACACAGCAGGGGGCCCCTCAGTGCGAAGGAGTGATGCGGGAGGCCGCACGGCCTTGGGCACAGCGGAGACTGGGCTGTGCAGGGCCAGCAGGCTGTGTCCTGGTGTGCAGTCACTGGACAGGTCAACAACAGCAGCAGATGAAAATGCAAAGGGAGAGGATGAGCAAGTGGTTGGACCTCCGCAGAGCAACGCTGCAGCCCTCGTCCTCATGGACCTGACAAACGTGCCTCTGTCCAGCCGGAACCCCACCTTGCTGGCCCGCAAGCAGGCCTTCTGAGACTGTAAATTGCACGGGAGGAGACTGCCCTTCTTTCCACCATGGAGCAGCTGGTGAATTCAAACCACTTGCCTTGAGGTTGACAGCGCAGCTCCTGACCCATTGGGCCACCAGAGCTCCCTTACCAGAGATTAACACTGATTACATGGCTACACTACTGAGGATAGGATGGTGTTGTTGCAAGGATAGTGAGACTGTGACAGTCAGAGGGGGACAGCCTCGACAGGGGCA